GAGAGAGAGAGATTGAGAATTCAGTCAGGTAGGTAAGGAGGTAGAAGGAATAATAGGAAAGATCAGTATGGTGGAAGGAATATGATCTAAATACATTGTATAAAATATTTTAAATAAAAATTAGAAAAAGGACAAACTTTTGAAGAAAGAAAATAAACAGAATTTTATCAACATTTCTATGAAAGTTATTAAAATTCAAGATAATGGATTTTGGAAAATCTTTGTAGTGGTTTGAGAAAAAAGCCCTGAAAGGGAGTGGCACTACTAGGAGGTATAGTTTTGTTGGAGTGGGTATGGTCTCATTGGAGGAAGTGTGCCACTGGGGGGGGGGTGGGCTTTGATGTTTCTTCTTCCCAAGCTTTCTTTGGTGAGGTTGTCAGGAGACTTCCTGTTGCCTCTGAGGTAAGATGTAAGGACATTCAGTTCCAGAACCATGTCTGTCTGCATGCTGCCACGTTCACATTCATGATCACAATCCACAGAACCTCTGAAACTGTAAGTGACCCCCACCAATAAAATGTTTCCTTTACAAGAGTTGCAGTGCTCATGGTGTCTATTCACAGCAATGAAAACCCTATTTAATACAATCTTCAAAATGTCACAGAAATATTATTTCAAATTAGGATTCTACACATCCAAAATGTCAAGGAAGTAGGTGAGTCCAGTACATTTTTTTTTAGTTTTACATGACAGGGTTTCTCTGTATTGTTTTGGAGGCTGTCAGTCCAGCCTGGCCTCGAACTCACAGAGATCCGCCTGCCTCTGCCTCCCGAGTGCTGGGATTAAAGGCGTGTACCACCAACGCCCAACTGTCCAGTACATTTTTAACTATGTAAGTCCTTCAGAGAAAATAAAGATTTAAAAATATGCAGGGTATGGAATACAAATGGACTTTGGGTGCTCATTCCACAATGAGGGATGAGCTCTCAGCTTGGACTCTTGGGGGAGGGCCTAGGCCCTGCCCTGAAGGAAATGACAGACTCTGGAGATCCCCCATGGAGAGCCTCACCCTCCCTGGGGAAGGAAGTGGGGAGTGGGTGGGGGGCCAGGAGGCCTGGTGGGAGGCATGTGGGAGGAGGGGAGGAAGAGGGAGCTGGGATTGACATGTGATGCAAGCTAGTTTCTAATTTAAATTAAAAAAAAAAGAAAAAACATGCAGGGTAGCAGGAAGATACTAAACAATGGGGGAAGTAACCAAGTAACTAGCCTGGAAGATGAAGTGCAGAACAAGGGGAGAGCAGGAGGAATTCCTACACTACTCCCACAGCTCCAGGTGGCAGGATTGTGTTGCCCGCAAATATATAGCACAGTAGTATTTCAACCGTGTGTGTTTTATTTTTGCCTTAATCAGCATTTAGTATGCTTAGTGAAAATTTAAATAACCTTCATAATGAATATGCTCCACACCTATAATTTTAAATTCCATTGCAAATAAATGCCCATTTTATGAGATTCAACTGAATGACACTTTAATTTAGACACAACATAATCATGTAGGTTATAACATGAAATAATTTTCACTGCCAACAATGAAGCAGCAGTAACACTTCTTTTTCACGTATAGATTCTGTCATTGTTTTGGCTTTGATTTTCGAAACAGGGTTTCTCTGTTGCTCTGGAGGCTGCCCAGAACTCACTCAGTAGAACAAAGTGGCCTCAAAGTCACAGAGATCTGCCTGTCTCTGCCTCCCAAGTGCTGGAATTAAAGGCATGCACCCCACCAATAGATCTTTGTAGCTGTGATTAGCCAAGTTACCCTCAGTTTGCAATAGCAATAACACTATTTTGAAGTCGAAAGATACAGCCATCCACTGGACACATCAGAACAGTAAACCTAGTAGGTCTGATTTTGTTGATCTGTACATTTATAATATCCTGTTAAAATGTTGATTTGTTTAAATTTCATTTTGATTCTATCAGATGGGTGGTTTTACTATTATAAACAGATAATTGTACTAGCCTTAATTTATAGATAATGAAACTAAGGAAAAGAGAAATAATTATCCAGTTATCATATCTGTATAGCAGATAGAGAAACACATTTTGGAATGCTAGTATTATTTCAAAATGAGTTTGGAGGAACTTGTTCAAGAGACATTTCAATAGAAGGGGAAGGTCAGGAGAGTAGAAGCATGTAGGAACTGGATCAACATCAGGAAGAGCCCTAGGACATCAGGCAGAAACTGGGAGTCTTTGAAGGCATAGAAATACCTCTAGCATTTTACAAAATGTTGAAAAGAAGAAACAGACTCTCAAGATGCAGAACAAGGGAATTACTGAAAAGGAAAAAAGTTCCAAGAGAGGGTGATGTCTTCAAGGATGACATTTAACTAACTAGGGAATTTAGTACTATTCCAGGTCAAGTAGGTGAACCAGTAAATTAGTAAGGAGGTCACTGCTGATTTGGTCAGAGCAATTGAGAAATGACAACACAAGAAACCACATTTTGGTGAGTAGATCATAAGCAGAATGATGGGCAGAAAAAAACTGGAGAATTAATATGCATGTGTTTTCTAATTGGATATATAATGCAAATTCCAAAGAAAGACTAATACTTCTATATTCACCTTTTAAAAAGTCTAAATTTATGAGGCGGTCCATTGTTGGGTAGATGGTAAAACTCAATCCTATTTGACCTGGGTAAGGACACAGAGATAGGAAGAAATGGTTCAGAAAAGTCATGGTTCACCAGCACCCTCTGTCCTTTACACAACTCATGTGAACAGTGTTAGTGAGTCATAGTCATTGAAGCCTTTAATCTCCCAACAAAATATATTCCTCAAACAAAAATGACTACAGTCAACAGAAAACAGCCTGAAATAAAAGACTTTTGTTTGAATCCCTCCTCCCTTGAATATGACAAATAGTAGAACTTATTATAGACACATATTAAAGAAAAAATCAATGCAGGAACATGCCTTATAAGTCACTGAATGTAAAACATCTGCTAAAATATAATAATAAAAGTCATCTTATTTTTACAATGACTGAAAGTTATTATTAAGTAGTGGGGGAATAGAGATACAGTAATTGATTCTGTGAAACAGAGATGATTATTGTATTTAGTAGGTAAATCAACTACAGCTACTCAAAGAGAATTTTAAGTTTTCTTAAATCTGTGTTTCTCTTAATCAAAATATTCCAGCATCTGTTTTATATCAGAAATGAATAAAATATGTCCACATGAACAGAATACATTGGCCTTTACTTTTTGCATTTAATTGTTTTAAAAGATCATCTAGAAAAATAAAGGTTTCAAAATCTTTTTATTTTCATTACAATTAAAATTCTCCCCAGTTGCCTGCTAGTGCTTCAGACCTATACATCAGTACATTTTAACATCCCCAGAATTGTGAAGTAATAATGAAAAATGCCTTGACTATTGAAAATAATGCTTGGAATTAAAAGGAACATTTCCTTTGCTGAGACACCTAGGTGACAAGGTGCTGCAACTGTTGGAGAGTTTGAAATTGGAGCCAACAGTGGATACATCTTACAGAAGACTCTAAAAATCCTACAGCAAAGATTGGGTCAATCCATTTCTGTGAGGAGCAGTGACCAATAGAAAAAGAAGGAGAAAATCCAAGGAAGCTGAGGTAAGCCACTCTCAAGTCTGTCAGAGTGGAAACAATTCATCAAGAGGTCTTATGGTGACCAGTCACCATACATTTCATTTTTTCTTATTGGAGATTTAACAGCATAAAGTCAAAACAAAAAGTTATTTTTCTTTTATCACTTCCCCTCCACCATCAACTTATTTTACCTAGTGTAAGACCAGCCACGGAATTCAACGGTCTATTCCTGGAAAGCAAGGTAAACTATTTTGTACTTTTTACAACTTTTGGTTTGGATATTCAGAGTTCTTATTCAAAAGATGTAGTGTTCAATTTCAATAACTGGTGCAAATCTCTGCTCTGAAAAGAAAAGTGAATTTGTCTCTGTTGGAAGCAGTCCAGAGAAGCATTCTGCCGTCAGAGGCAGCCTGACAGCTTGCAGAAGCAATTCTGAACTTTAATGAGAGAAATGAAAGACCAACATTCCATCAATGAACGATTTTATGTTTATGTCTACAATAATTGGTTAAATATATCTGTGCTTATTATTAGTTGGTTTATCGAAATGCACGTTGAGGAAACAGTAAATTTTATATGTGTATGTAACACATGTTATAGGCTAAAGTTTAAAACATATATTATGCATATATTTTTCTCAGACTACTTCTTTGTGAATGTCATATTTGGTGTTATTAAATGAAGGAAAGTTTCTTTCTTCTAAAAGAGCATGCATTCGAACCTACTTAGTATGTGTTATATCTATACTGAATATATAAATATAGGGGAATTTTTGACTTACATTCTGAATGCTTTTTGTTTTTTCTTATCCTGATTAATTATGCCATAGGTGAATATACATATACCAAAATTATATAACTGATATGTTAGCACTTTATAATCATTGTCATATCCAGGCATTAGTATATATATATATATATATATTAACTAGTATATATATACATATATATATATATACTAACTAGAGATCGTCTATATGAGGCAGATTATACCAATTATGTAGGAGAAAATGGTTACATGAGAAATTCATTATTCTGCTTATTGACTGAACACCTTGATTCTCCTGTACTTATAGTTATACAGTTCTTTCCCAAAGGTAAAGCTTACCTGATAGTTCAGCAGCAGAGCCAGAAATGAATCACATACTTTGCATCCAAACCTAGAGCCATCCTTCACCATAAACTTCTATACTGTCCTTTGGTCTCTACATTTCTTTGGTCTTGGAAATCTCCTCCAGATGTTACTCTCATTTAAGGGTAAAATAAAAGCACATGCGGATGCCCACCTCTTAGGAACAGCATGCAGTTTTCACTTCGTTTATTAGATCACATCTTGGTCTCTTATATCCAACTGTTGGTTTCAGTAACGTTTCTTGAGTTAATAGCTTGAGATGGAAAAGCACTTAAAATTGCTAAACTTTACTTTCCATTCCTCAGCTTTCACTGTGACTCAGAAAGTTTAGGGACTTTGAATTTATTTCAATGTCTGCAAATGGCTTTGCCTGTGATTGGTACTCAATAAATGTGTGTTAGTTGCTGTGTATGGATTAGAAGCTGATATTCACAGCCCTACCTTGAAGAAACAACACTTTGTGGGTTGATTCTTGTCAGTAAGATCGATGAACTATCTCACGTTTGTGTTACTTACTCTACAGGTGCTGTAATGGCAACTGCAACCTGTTTGATGTTCTGGGTGTTGCTCATAGCAGATCCTGTGTGGACACAGAGTGTGAGACAGGCCTACGAGGTACTGGACCCAGAGGACTGGGATGTGCACGATGACTTCTATTGTCCCAGGGAATGTTTCTGTCCACCCAGTTTCCCTACTGCCTTATACTGTGAGAACAGAGGTCTCAAAGAAATCCCTGCTATTCCATCAAGGATCTGGTACCTTTACCTGGAAAACAACCAGATAGAAACCATACCCGAGAAACCATTTCAGAACGCCACCCAACTAAGATGGATCAATTTAAACAAGAACAAAATTACCAACTATGGGATAGAGAAGGGGGCCCTGAGCCAGCTAAAGAAGCTTCTTTTCCTGTTTCTAGAAGACAATGAGCTCGAAGAGGTACCTTCTCCATTGCCAAGAAGTTTGGAACAATTACAGTTAGCTAGAAATAAGGTATCTAGCATCCCTCAGGGAACCTTCAGTAACCTGGAAAACCTGACCCTACTTGACCTACAGCATAACAAACTTTTAGATAACGCCTTTCAAAGAGATACCTTCAAGGGGCTTAAGAACCTCATGCAGCTGAATATGGCCAAGAATGCCCTGAGGAACATGCCGCCAAGACTACCAGCCAACACCATGCAACTGTTTCTGGACAACAATTCCATTGAGGCAATACCTGAAAATTACTTCAATGTGATTCCTAAAGTGGCCTTCTTGAGACTGAACCACAACAAGCTGTCAGATGCAGGCCTCCCGTCAAGAGGTTTTGATGTGTCATCTATTCTAGACCTTCAACTGTCTCACAATCAGCTCACAAACTTTCCCCGAATTAACGCTAACCTGCAGCACCTACACCTTGATCACAACAAAATTAAAAGTAAGTAGCCATGAGGATCTGCCTATGACCAAAATGTCAGTCATGATGTCCAGTCTCTGTCCCTTGTAAGAATACCAGTTGTGTTGTTTCCCCCACCAACACGCAAATAATGGAGCCTTAAAATCAACATATTATTTTGTTGATTCACCTTTAATAAACCAAAATTCCCTAATCTTCAAGTTCAGGGTTGAAAACTTAATCTTAATAATCTACACACAGCTTTTACATACAGGAGAAAGGAACCAACTCTGTTTTCTTTGCTGTAGAAAGATTCTGGTGTTTCTCCCTCTGTGGGTAGACATCACTTGTATCTCAATATGTCTTTCAGGGTGGCCTTTAACACAAGATCAACTTCCTGTTCCAGTGTTAGAGTACCAGGGTTGTAGGATCATGCCACCATGCCCCACACTCTGAGGGATAAATTTGCTGGAGAAAATATGTAAGGGATAATCTCTTGGATAATATATAGAATAGGATATAAGGGATTACTGGAGTTGATACCTGAACCTCCTTAAGTATCATGGCTGTCCAAATACTCCAGGGGAGAGTGAATTTCAGTGTGTGTATGACAGTGTTCTTCTACCCCAAAGTTTCTGAGTCACTAGGTCTTGAGTAGGACCTCAGACCTCTTATTCTCAGCAAGTTCCCAGGTGCTGGTCCTGATGCTATGGGGAATCACACGTAGAGAGCTACTACAGATGGTCAAGATTTTAGTTACTTGAAATGGAAACCAGTGCCCTGGGAACTTGTAATCACTGGGACTTAGTGAGGTATCCACAGTGAGTAAAATATTGCTCTTTCTGGAAAACAGCTTTGGAAATGCAATGGAGAGTGGATCAAGTTGAAGTCTTTCAAAGCAAAGACATTATTAAAGGATGAATTGGTTTCAAATACACATGCTTGAAAACATTTGAGATGAACTCAACCTGTTCATAGTTATGTCAGGCTGTCTCTGGAAGTGAAAGTGGGCAATTTCATATCCCATGCCTGGTTACTGGTACACAATCTAAGATTTGTCTTCAGTTCCAGTATAAGTATTTTGGAAGGATAACCAAGGGGAGATTCCTTCTGTAAAGTTTTTTTTTTAATGTAGTCTTGAAGAGAGAGTTGATGAAAAAGTTTTATAGAAAACTAGGTAATGCCATGGTTTTATGCTTCCTAGTTACCATTCATGGGAGATTTTTTTAAGCTTGTCATCATATAATTATTTCATTACATGATTAGAGTACCTTTTGACTAGGCATTTCGTGGATATTGCAAACTTTTATTTTCGTTATTGTCGCCATGCACTTGAGAATAAAGTCTGCAACTAAATGGCATACTGCTATCACATCAGTTACTTTTCCCCTCTGTGATGAGGAAATATACTGTTTAATATTCCAGTCAGAAAGAAAAGACACAACACAGAAAAAATTGTTAGATGATTTTTTTTGGTTGAGCCAAACATCATAGTATCTAAGGAGGACCCTGGGTTTGTAAGTGTTTCTTGATGAGAGGTCTATCCTCCTATAGGTGCATTCCTCATCTACAATAAAACCTCACAGATAACTGGAGTAGGTGTTAATTTCAGATGACCCTACACAGATTTTTGTACGGGAGTTTCAGGTGCTGAGGACTAGAGATCAAGTCTTCAGGAGTGAGGGGCCAGTATTGAAAACAAGGTTGACAAGTAAATCATTGTCTTCTCTACTGAAATTTCACAAAGGGTTCCCAAAGACTATGAAATTCAGCCTTATATATTAGTATGTGCCAGACTCTACTGAGTTTCTGAAAGATTGTAGGGATTCCCCCACCCTAGATTATTATGATGGGAGACCCTGAATTGGAGTCAAACAATGCCATCTATAATCATATCATTGCTCATGGTTGGAGAAACTTGAAATCTACCAAGAGGTTTGTGTGATATTGTTGGGAAGTTCAAAGAGGAAACTGAAACACAGATGGGTGACAGCAATCCATTCTCTCAGCTTGAACAAAATGAAGCTATGTCACCTCATTTAACACACTGATCTAGTTTTGTTTGTCGTAGAAATAAATGTGGAATATGGACACCCTTTGTGGGATTCACTGGATGAGAACTTCATAAATGACATTGTTACAATACTTGTTTAATTACTTAGTTCTTGCCACATACTCTAGTTGTTAAAAATTGTTTTCAAGAAAGAAAAATTTTATATGAAGGACCCATTGAATTTGCCAATGAAGTTTTCTTTTTTGATATGTATTTCTTCAGAACATGATAAGGAGCTTGAAATTTAATATAAAGTATGCATATACTTCAATAAGTTTCTTCTCCATATTCTTTGGGGAAAAGCCTAACTTATGGAAAACTATTAAATTTACAACACTTTTCTCTTATTTCAGTTATTTGGGTATATCTGATATGAATTATGGGAGTGATAAGGATATTAAGTAAGGCACTGAACAAAACACCGTATCCCTGGTCTGCAAAGATCCCAAGTAAGAGAAATGGGCTAGTTTGGGCCAAAATTTTTATACAATACCCACGTGGAAAGGGTACCCGCATTTCCTGGTAAAGTCTGTGTGAGGATGATCTGATTGTGTATGTTTATAAAACTATAACCACAAAGCTGATTTACATATGTGAGCTATTGTTTATATCAAGTTAATCCACAAGATAACACAAGATTTGGACAAAACAGCCATTATCCAAGTATAAAACAGTTTGACATTATGTTGTGTATTTGTTTACAGCAATAGAACATAGGACAGAGATGTTCCCCAAGTTTGGTGGATCTAGTTGACAAAGAGCTCTTGCTCATTTTTTGGCAAAAGCAGAATATGTGGATTGATGTTTGAGATTGCCTGCTCCAAGCTTTTCTGAATTTGACCATGTAACAAACTGTGATTCTGGAGGAGTCTCTCAATGTGACTGTTGGTGCCACTAGCTGTAATCCAAGGCACGTGTTTGTTCTCCCATAAATAACAGATATAAAGGTTGATAGGATGTTTCTTGGCCTCAATCCTCTGTAATTTTACTCTTGGCAAATGCCTACTTTCCAGCTCCAACTAAGCATACTTATGTGGATGGATTCATGAATTTTAGTATTACATGTAGAATTATCATAAATACATTTATGTAATCATACCATTCATTAGTTTGAAAAATTTAAGGTAACATTGCAGCATATTTATCCTTGCAAGAACTCTTCCACCCATCTTTATACCCAGTCTAACTGCTGTCTCTGCCTTTAATCCTTTAAAAATGTTTCTCATTTTTGCATAGTAAGGCAATTTTGACATGCTTTGTCTCTTCTGTAAGCTTAGAAAATAGCTGAGATATCTTATTTCCCTTGGATCTATCATTGTTTGCAATAGTATTAGCTATGTAATATTTCGTGCTAAAATACAGCAGAGCATAGAGTGGGAATACTGCACCTGTTACATCAGACTTGTTTCCAGGGTTATTATTGTGAAACAGATATGCACAGTAACTTGTTTGACAATGACTTGCATCTCTACAGCTTTCATTGCAAGAGGTCATTTGATCCCTTAGGGCCCCTGCAGCATTTTTTTTCATTTAGACCACTAGACTTTCTGGTGTTTCAATCTAAACATTCATGTCATCTTTCTATCTATAGATGTGAACATCTCGGTAATATGTCCCACCACGCTGCGTGCAGAACAGGATGCCTTCATTCATGGACCTCAACTGAGCTACCTTCGTCTGGATGGCAATGAAATCAAGCCACCAATCCCAATAGATATAGTGGCATGCTTCAAGCTTCTTCAGGCCTTCATTATATAAGCAGCTCCACCAAATCCAAATTGGATTAAGAGTAGTTGTGTGTGGTACGAAATTCAATTTTTCTCCTAGGATTAGGTCACAAGTCATATTTACAATTGTTTTTAACCACAACTTTCATCTGTGCAGTCTGTTTTCAATTCGAAGATGCTTTGGTCAGTGGCATACAGATGGTACTTGTGATAATTTGCTTTTCTCTGATTAACTAAACAGACACAGAGTTGAGATAACTTCTTAACTCAAAGCTATTTTTGTCTCTTTGCAGTTACTAATATCAAGTAATTTTTAATTTTTATATATTCAAAATGATTTACTTGTCTATGACTGAATTTATGTGTGCTGGTAGTGTATATGTCCTGTAAGTACAACAATGAGATAGCAGTGAAGAAAATGAATAAATGAAATCTTCCTGTCATTATTATCATAAACCTACTAGCCAAATGCATCATAAGGAGAGATTTAGCTATTAGAACTAAACAATAAAGCAACAGAGAGAAGGAGAGAGAGAGAGAGAGAGAGAGAGAGAGAGAGAGAGAGAGATAGACTAGTCACTAAGGATTAACAATGAAGCAAGAGACATTTGTGGTTTACTATCATTCCATATATATATTATATACAGAGGTATAATACACTATTCTCCAGCAACTGAAGCCTTAAATTCTGCAGTTATCATAACATACATCTCATTGAAACACACTGTTTTAACACTAGAAATTTACTTAACTTGCTAATTATTTAGCTCTTAATTTACTCATGATTTTTTGTATTTTCTAAATAAACATATTAAATGTTTTCTGACAAAATGGAAGTGTGATATTTGTGTAAAGGAGACAACTTTCATATAGGAACACATTATAAGAAAGTGTTATAGTGTCAACTAGTTTGCTGACATGAACACAAACACATATCTTCTCAAATCTTATTTTTATCTTAGTAAAGATTATATTCTAAGTGCATAAGTACGTGATGAAATACACTTATTTGTGATGAGTTTTTCTTCAAGCCAAGGTACCTCTATGTAGCTCTGGTGTCCTGGAACTCACTCTGTAGAAGAAGTTTGTCTCGGGAGTGCATGTATGTGTGTACATGTGTTCATGTTCATATAGGCATCTATGCACGGCATTATCCAAACAAGATCAAAGTTTTTCAGTTTATATTATATCACACAGATTAGTGTAATATCACAAAACCATGCAGAATTTTATTTGTAACAAATGTTTGCATTCTGCAAATTGATTAGTAATACTAATTTGAAGAAGAATTTCCTAAGAAAATGACTTAGGAAACACATAAAGAATGAAAAATGTTTAATTACAGAGATGGAGAAAAGAATATTCCAGGCATAACTTAAAGACTTTGTAATCCTTGGAAAATTTTGGGAATTACAGAAGACTTTTAATATAGAAGGGATTATATTTGTCAGGGGTAGCAACATTTAGCTAAAATCTCCAAGTTCACATCTCAACCTTGCTGTTTACTCTTGGGCATATTTTTTTTTAAATTTTATTTTTCAGTTTAAATTTAGATAAGAAACGAGGTTGCTTCACAAGTCAGTTCCAGGTCCCTCTCCCATTCCCTCCCCTCCTCCCGTGCCCTCCCCCCAACCCCCCCCCGTTATCCCCTCATTTCCCCAGGGAGGGTGAGGCCCTCCATGGGGGTGTGCATAGTCTGTCATTTCATATAGGACAGGGCCTAGACCCTTCCCCAAGAGTTCAGGGCGAGAGTGCACCTCACATTGTTCTATGGGAGTCCAAAGTCCGTGTGTATACTTGGGATGGGTACTGATCTGCTGCCCAAGGCTCAATAGATTCCCTAGGCCTCTTCGGCATATTTTTCTAATTTTCTGTTCTTCAGATTCTCTTCATCTGTCAAATACTGACAAGAAATGACACCCCCCTTATGGTGAGGATTAAGGGAGTGTAAACATCAGAAGAGTCTAGACAAGTTCCTGGTGCATGCTAAATGCTGTGTGATTTATCTGCACTGTTGGGTGATATTTGAGGGAACTTAAGATTACATTTGAAGATATCAGCTATGATTTCATTCCTGTACATTGGTTAGAATTAAAACACAGTAAGCATGGTTTAGAAGAGAGGACACTAGTAGTCCTGTTAGATGCAGCATCTTACAGATTTGAGGACATGTGACAGCAAAATTCGTAGGAGTTGTTGATGGTTTGTACAGAGGGGACTTAAAGGAAGGAGGATGTTAACATCTTTGTCTCAAATAATAAGGTTCACAACAACACAGTTATCCAGAGAGACATATTCAGAGATCATTTACTTTTAAGCAACTTGAAATTGCTTTTATCCCATAAGTGCAGTTAAATCTAAGAAGAGATCAGGATGGGAGTTAGGTGTTGACATTTTCTAGATTTTGTTAACATATGCAATGATTTTGAAATAAATCTGTATTGAAATCATTACGGAGTGTAATAGATTAGGTATAGATGCGGAAGATGCACACTTTATTCCATGTCCTGGACAAAGAAGCCTTGGAAGATTGAGTGATGTTGCAGCCAGCAATATCTGTATATATGTCAAAGTTTCACAGTGAACTCATTTCTGATGTCAATACGTGTGACCATCACATGAAAAAATTAGAGTATTAAATAGGAAATCAAGTTAAACCATTTTGAAACTAAAAGTCAATTGTTTATAATTTAAAACACAAAATAATCCTTCTCCCCTCCCCCAATTTCTCAGGAGATCTTGTCTATTTCCCTTTCCCAGGGGTATCCATGTATATCTCAGGGTTCTCCTTATTACCTACCTTCTCTGGGTTCATGGACATAGAGTAGTTACCCTTTGCTTTATGTCTATTATCCACTTATGAGTGAGGACACACTGTGTTTGTCTTTCTGGGTCTGGGTGACATCGTTCAGGATGTTTTTTTTTCTTTGATGACTCCCACTGAGAAGCCTTACCCTCTCTGAGGAGTGGATGGGGAGGAGTGGGAACTGGGATTGGTCTGTAAAATGAGAAATTGTTTTAGAATTAAAAAAAACACATCTAAAAATAAAATAAATAAATTATATACTTCATTCTGTTGTCTCCCCAGGTAAATAACATGGACTTGGCACAAAAATACAGTGAGGAAAAGGTACCAACAAGCAAACAGCAACAGAAAGAAAGACGTGGTAATAGAACGGCAGTTAATATAAAAACGGCGATATTCGGGAATATATATTTCTAGTAGAAGTGTGTTGGTACATGTCAATAACCCCAGTCTTTGAGAAGTAAAAGCAAGAGAATCGGAAGTTCAACACTTTAATCAAAAGGCTGGTCTGCTTATCATGCAATCCCTATGCCAGAGCCAGTCTATTTAGAAAGAATGATGGTTTTCACTAAGAAACTCGGAGGGATTCAGAAGCTGTATCAGTAACCAGGCTCAAAGACAAACTGTAAAAAGAAACTTTATCCTAGAGTACTCATCTACAAATGCCAGAGCCTAGAAACAGGGGTCAGTATGTATATTGCTGTTTAATAGATTAACACATAGGGAGGTGTTTTAAGTAAGATTAAGGTAAGATTAAAGCCTTACTTTAAATTAAGCAAAAATCCCTTACAGGTGTGCCCTCCATTTTGGGGTTTTAATTAATTCCAGATATAGTTAAATTGACAACCAATAGTAGCCATTACAATGATTTGGGGCCAGACAAGGCTGTGTACTGAGACTCTGTATTAAGTACACAGAGAAAGATACTTGTATATAATCAAAATATTATAAGTAAGTTTAATACATAATTATAAAACTGCAGGATATGTTTTGTTTAAGTTTCCTTTTATTATCCTAACTTTAAGACATCAATTTGTGCTGATATTCAGCTGAATATCAAAATCCAAGTACAGAAAGGGACTGTGTCTGAGATTTTTAAAGGTTTCAAAAGACAAGTTAAAAATTTCCTGGAGAAAGTTCAGAACAGTAAAACGACTATCAGGAATGCTTATTATTGTTTTGTTTCTTGCTTTGGCAAAAAGTGACAGGAAAGTTATAGACAATATACCTAATATACAATAGGTGTCAGTGTTTGTTTCCAATGGGGAAAACGCTCTGGCACATGCTACATTTCCAGGTCCCTTTGCTTGCATTCAAAGGAACAATTCAAACCTTCTGGGCACTGCCGGTGCTAACAGGTAACACTATCTAGATGTGGAGATACTGCATTAGAGCAATGTAAGGAGCTGAACCAACAGGATTTCTGTGTAAGAGAAGCTACTTCTCAAAATTCAAAACATGTACACAGTCCTTAAAGTAGTCTGGGAAAAAAGAGAAGTTATTTCAAATTGAAAATGGAGAGAAAGGGTCTTGGGATGTGGCATCAGATACAATTGTACCTACCCTAAAACTTGAAATATATATTGATTTTGACAGAAATGACTATTATCACCTGTTGCAGAAACACATAGAGGAGTTAACAGTTTCCATCTTCTAGAAAAAAGTAATCAAATTATAAGAGAGATTCTGGCCATGGTGCAATAGTAGAACCACCAGATATCCCTTCCAAACCATGGGTTTGCAGTGCTTGGGGGAATGGAAGTCTTGGTGTGTCAGGATCCTGCAATGGAGCCTCCAGACCTTCAGTGTCTCTTAAGGGAGGTGTAGGGCAGGACTGATATGATGAGTGACACACAAAAGTTTGACTTGTTGGTGAAATTTATGGCATTTGCAATTAAAGCATGCTAGCCTATCTATCATGAATAGTTCCTTCATATTTTATGCATAGTCTCAACGTAATAAATGAGTAAAATCCAAAACACTGGGTGCTACATAATGTTGTGATAGTCGCAATTTAAGTTTTTAAACAATACACAAGCTTCGTAAAATTCCAACATCTAAAAGAATTTCCCTGTAGGGAGAATTATTTTTTTTTCTATCCCACTCTTAGAGTCTAGAGGAACCTACTTTAAATATTTACTGGGTTTATTTTTCTTTATTTGGCCAGAAAATATTTTAATCAAATTCTCTTGATTTAGCAACTTTAAAGAAGTTACTTAGACTCTGCTATGGAATATTCTACATATACATATGCATATATACCTATTGCCTTTTCCTATCTGTTAATAGCAACCTTTTTACTTCTATAATTAATAAACGTTGAACAACTAAAACCTCATACTGATAGATATAATTTGAACATCTCTACAAAGTTATTGAAAGTTTTTTTTCTATTTGAGATAAACTAATGTCTATTGCAGCCATATTCTCTATCTTTCTATCTTCTGTTAGATACATATTTAGTTTTATGCTCATATTTATACAAATTTGCACTATCTTAAAAATTAACTATATTCTACACACATTTTCTGTGTGAACATTTATTGGAAGATTTGGGGATATGGGAAGTGCATCTTGGAGGAATTAGTGGGAGGAGTGAGAAGTATGATAATACATAGTAAGAAATAATCAAAAAGTTAATAAAATATTATATTGAAACAGAAATAATATAAATCCACAAATATGTGTATTTATGCATATAATTTTAAAATTTGCAGTAACCATGTTTACAAATAGAAAAAGAAAGATGGAAAACAACATGAAAAGAAATAGAATTTTGTAAGAGCATCCTGGTGTAAGAGAAGAATATCAATATACACTCTCCAAAGTGGTGGCGCACGCCTTTATTCCCAGCACTCCGGAGGCAGAGGCAGGCGGATCTCTGTGAGTTCCAGGCCAGGCTGGACTGACAGCCTCCAAAACAATACATAGAAATCCTGTCTCTTACCACCAAAAAAACAAAGATTCAGTACACCCGTATTTACCAAACTTCAAATAAACTTATCCATATCCATCTGTGGTAGTTTGCATGAGGAATATCCCCCATAGGCTGTGGCAACTGAACCTTTGGTCCCCATTTAGTGGCACTGTGTGTGACGGTTTTGGTGTGGCAAACTTGCTGGAAGTGTGTGACTTGGGAAAGGTTTGAAGGTACACAGCAACACCCCACTCTTCTCCATACTTGCTGTTGGTGACTTATCTCTCAGCATCCTCTGCCTGCCACCATGCCTACTGCTTGTTGCCATGCTTCCCATCATGATTGACTCTTACCTTCTCTTTCATTATCCCAAATAAACACTTTTTGTGTATAAATGTCCTTTATAACAGCATCAGAAAAGTGACTAATATCACACTTTGGCAATGCTAAACTGCAGCACAGATCTTTGATTCATCACTTAACATGTTTCCACCTTGTTTTATTGATTATAGCAAAAAATGGAGATATCTGTCTCCCATAGTTGGCTTCATCCACAATTCTCTTTGTTGTAATGAGCTTTTTGCTTTTCAAATTTTATTTATACAGGATTTCAATGGAGCTACCAAGAGGAATATGAAACAAATATTCTTGGGATCTTTCCTGTTCTTTTTTACTCTGCTCATAAATTAAGCAGTTTGGATCTTGTGCAAAGAGACTCCATGAGCCTTGAACAGGAAGACACTTTGCATGAGAAACTGTAAGACATGGAGAGTTTTAGATAGAGGGTTACAAGAGCATCAAGCTCAACTGCAGCAAGGATGGGCAGAGGATATTGGAAGTCCAGTCAGCCATTTATCTGAGCTCACTAGCCAGAAGAGGATTTGAGCTTCTGTTTAGACCTGAATGTGTAAAGGTGATTGTTTACTTTGTATTTGGGAGGCCACAGTCCTCCAGTGAAATTTTAAAAAATATAATCTTAGCAATATTGCAACATTTCACTTGGTCTTTCTCCACAGTATCATTCAACATGTTTGCTGCTGATAGTTTAACACAAGTTCTACAACCTCCTTCCCAAGACTTTCCCTAAGTGCCCCATAGCTTCTCTGTTCTTCAGTTAAGCATTAAAATTAATCCCCTTATGATTCTACATCCCCAGGACTCTCAGAAGTTAAGATACCCTTTTCTTACTTGTTTAACAATCAAGATATTACCTCTTAAATCTTCAGAAATTCCTCTCCAAGGAACATGTGCCTATCAGTAATTTTCAAATATCTGTCTTTCCAAGACACTAAAATTGGTAGAAAAGGTGTGATAGTTTGTGAAGACTGCCACAATAAAATACCTCCAACTGAGTAGCTACAATAATAGAAATTCAATTTCTCTCAGTACTGGTGTTGAGAGATGTCAGATCAGTTTGGTTCTTTCAATGCAGCTTTTATTCATTAATGGATGCCTTCTTAGATCTTCTTGTGATCTCTTCCCTGTATTTTCAGAGTCAAGGCTTATGTTTCTCACGAAACCAACAGTAAAGCCCTTATAAGGATGTCTATCAGATTGGATTAGGATTTGCCTTAAGCATCTAATTTTAACTGAATCACCTTTGACAGACCTCTATTGTCACAGGAAAGGTTTGAGGTGCTTGGGGTTATTGTTTCAAGAACATTTTGATGATGAACACAAAGGTCATCTGCAAAATTAATTATTTACTGTGATTTTATATATGCTTTCCAAAGTTTATGTGTTGTCATTTAATAGACAGCTGACAGCATTAAGAAGAAGGCCAGTAAGAAGAGGACCATGAGAATCTTGTGGTGGTTTGGATGACAATGGCCCTCATAGGTTCATAGGGAGTGGCATTATTGGAGGCATAGCACTGTTGGAATAGATGGCCTTGTTGGAAGTATATCATTGGAGGAGGGCTTGGAGGTTTTCTGAAGTTCAACCAGGTTTGGGCGGTATTTTCCTGTTGACTGCAGATCCAAATACAGAACTTTCAGCTACCTCTTTAGCACCATGTCTGCCTGCATAAGTGTGTTGTAGTCATGGTGACTTTTAACAGCAATAAAACCCAAACATACTAATAAAAGGACTTAAGATCTTTGTAAAAGAGACTTTATACAGTGCTATGTACTCATGATGCATACCTTCAATCTTTGTGAGTTGCACCTTATGAAGAACAAAGCAACAACTGTGTGTTACAAGGTGGTAGACCCCCATTAGCTAGCACAGCAATAACCGACTTAGAGTCACAAAGGCTGTGAAAGGGAATCTTTTTTAAATCGATTACTTAGTCACAGATACTTAGTTAAACAATGCAAAATATCATCTGAAGACATAATTCTCATTTTCTTACACCATTTACTGTTAAATAAATGTATACAATAGTAGATTGCACGCGTATTTCCTTCCCTGTTTGGCAATGCAACCATTGGTCTACCAACTTTTGTCACTCACTTATGCAGGAAGTTTAGAGTTTCATAGTTCTGAGGATACTTTGACAGCATTAGTCACTGTAGCATTAAAGCTAATTGCACTGGATTTTTGAAAAGTGTTTGAATGCGAGACATCTTGTCCAGAGAGAAACCTATGCTTTCTGAAGATATTTATGCAAAACATTAAATATAAGCAAGCATAATTTCATCTGGAAATGAAATTAATGAGTGAAGTGCTGTCTAACTCACTTTATTGCTCACAAAATACCTTCTTTTATGGGGAGGGACCTCTCAGCAAATGAACTTTACAAAGAATGAGTGATCATGTCAATTCTCAGCAAAACTAAACAATGAAGATAGTTCAACAACTTCTAAGTTATTTGACAGAATCATTTGGTTCCAAAGAACAATTCCAAATGTTTTCTGAAAGATCTCAGCAGAAAAAAATGAGTACTGCCACATCAAAGCTCTGAATCTGTAAAAAGCAGCTGTGACTAAGGACCCTGAAGGCAATGAATTAATATTCAGCTGCTCTGAAATGAAGTTATGAAATAAGAATGCTCACAAAATATAGTAAGCTCATACACATTTAAAATGACCTTCACAAATGCCATGTAAATATATGCCAATCAGTTTTGAATTGAAAGCTACATAATTAGTTCTGTGAGTCCATGCCAAAACTATGTCACAATTTTGCTAAATTTAAATTACACAGGGTGGTAAATGAAGATGAACATTCTCAAATGTTGTCCCATTTAGCATATTCCCCTCTACAAACATACAGCGTGCATGCATGCACGCACCCAGACACACAACCCAGACACACACACACACACACACACACACACACACACACACACACAAATACACACATGGAATCATAAAAGCAGTACAGATCTGGAAAGAGTTATGTCATCTCTTTATTTGCAAACCCAAAGGAAAGATTCACAAGAAAAATAGCTTTACATTTATTTTCTCATATTTCATGCATGCAAAGGAAAGTTGGCAATTTTTCTAAGTATCATTTGTTACAATCTGAAGAGTGCTTATTCCACAATAATACTGTAAAGATATCCAAATGTTCTTTCTTCATCTGCCTTATTAAATGACAAGAATTTTGATTCCAGATGGAATATATTACATAGTATCATCTATCAAAAGTTACATAAATCCCAGAACATAAAACATTTTGACAAACAAAAGCATAATGGTTTTGGAGTTTGTACTTTACTCTGCCCTTTTATTTAGGGTGATGATAGTGACGTTAGAAATATTCTTGGAAAGCAATAAAGATTCAGAAACAGAGAGCCTCTTTTTCTATGTGAAAAGTCAGCCTTTACTTCCAATGCTTAAACAAGCATTTATGGGCTATATAATTTTTCTATGGAAGTGTTGAAGGATAGGAAATATCTATCTACAAATATAACCAGCATGTCAGGTATAGCAAAGAATTGAAAAGATCAAGCAGACAAATTATACAAAGAGAGGACAATGGCATCAATTTTTAATCACAGAGAGTGCATCATAGGGCGTCTGAAGATCACTTAGTGACCAATGAATACAATCATTAATGACCAGTTTTAATCCCATGTTCAATCTGAAGGAATTATGATAATTCAAACAGCAGATATATTATTTCTAGTCTGAAATGCAGAGAAAGGGGGCTGGAGAATAACCAAGGGAAAAAGTTCAACACATTTCCTATTTCTATCTTAATCCAATCATGAGCAACATGGTCTCAACCCCAGTGGTTGGGGGCAAGTTAGATGATAAAGGTTAGTTGTTAGGACACGGCTGATTAATATGTAATTTCAGGCAATATCTAGATTTAGATTTTGTTGATTTAAAGAACATGATAAATTATATTCTAAAGCAGAAATAGATTGCTCCCTATAACTAACTTCATCCCAAAAGACTGGATAAGGCTAGGTATTATCCAGTTCTTCCCTTAATGCTATTTCAACTATCAACACAAAAGATTTTG